ATGATGGTGATGTTTGGGTGACAACTTCCTATTCTGGCAGGAAGTGTAAAATAGGCAACTAAAAAATGACCCAGATATTCAGGACTGAACTTCCTATTCCAGCAGGAATGGTGAATTTGGACACTAAAAAACTACTTGGATATTTGTATATACAATTTCCTATTCCAGCAGGAATGGTGAAGCTGGACACTAAAAAACTACTTGGATATTTATGTAAGCAGTGTCCTATTCTGGCAGGAAATGTAAAATAGTGAACCAAAAAATAACCCAAATAGTTGTGTGAGCAACTTGCAGCAGGCACTGTAAAGCTGAACACCGAAAAACGATTCCTGTTTGTGTGAGAAACTTGCCGCAGGTGCTGTAAGATTCAGTCACTAAAAAATGCCCTGACATTTGTGTGAGCAGCTTCCTATTCCAGCAGAAACTGGAAAGTTGGACTGGAAAGAGTCCAATGAGCAGCAGAGACTTGACACAGCACCTGCACCCAACGCAGGTCACACAAAAATTCAGAAGTGGTGCTGGCAATGTCTTGGGTTTATGGATGAAATGTGTAATTTTGCAAGGAAAGCCGTTTACAGACGAGTGCCCTGATGTGTGCTGTGAATGTTTTGGTGTCTCCCCTGTCAGCAGAGGGTTCCAGAGGTTTGGTGCAGTGTTCTGTGTGCAATGCCATGTTTTCCCTTGCAGGAGGAGCAGAGGGGCCCTGCACATGAAGCAGGCAGGGGCGTGCTGAGGGAGCTGTGCTGAGGGCAGCTCCCCTCTGCCTTTGCTGCCTTTCCTGATCCTGCCCTGCCAAGCCCAGCCTGGGGAGAAGAGCCAGCTCTGCTGTCCTGCTCCAGAGCTGGGGCTGACCCTCCTGTCCTCGCAGCACAGCTGCTCCTGTGCCTTCACCAGCCCTTCCTTGGAAGTTTGTCTCCTTGGCTGGAGTTCATATCCCCTGACAATGCCCCCAGTATCCCCACCTCCTTTATCAAATGTTTTATTTCCTTTACCTACAAACTTTAGCAGATATTTTTTTCCTAAAGGTTTTCAGCTTTCCCAGGCACTGCTCTGACTCTCTCCCAGTTTTGTAGCTGAATTTTAAGTGCTTATTTTTCATCCCTCTCTGTACAATTCTGGTTCCTGTATGTTGTTCAGCTACTCAGTGTGCTTGTTTATTAAAATAAACATTCACTCTATTTTTTTGTCTATGGTGAACTTTCTAGAGAATTTATTGCATCCATGACTAACAAGTATTTCCCAAATTACCAAGTTTCCAGAAAACTGCAGTGGAGCAGGGGCTGAGTCCAGATGTAAAAATCCAAAGCTGGGATACATGACCTCATATACTGCAATTTACCCCCGCGATCTGTTTTGTTGGCTTTTTTTTGTTGGTTTTTTTTTTTTTTTTGCTTTAAATGAGACAAATCTGGTAAAATGTGAGACTGTAGAGGTTTGTTAAATCCTGTCATTTAAATGGGAACATTCTTTAATCTTTTCACTTGACGAATTTCAGAACCTAAAGAAATTTATGTCCTGCTCTTACATCCTGATTATCTTCACTGGTAAAGTAATTTATGTCTTTTACTCAATACTTGGTCATGGGAATGTATTTTCCCAGAATTAAAGTTGTGAATAACTGACCTTATTGGAGGACAATTTTGGAGCAGCTGGACACAGAACAAATCCAGCCCTACCTTGAATTCTGTTTATCTGGAAACCAGGTCCCAGCAATTAGGCAGCAGGAATGAAAATGAGGAAGGTAATAGAAAAGTTCCTTATAGTTCAGAGACTTCAGTAAAGAAGTTCCTAGAACAGATCACGTTGACTGAAAAAGATAAAAATGAGAAAAAAGAGATCAGATTGAGAGAACGAAGGGAATCTCTGAGGTTTCCTCACGATGTCAGAAAAAGCTGATTTGTGGATATTTGCTGCCTTCCAGCCTCATGGATATTCCCACCCTCTGCTTTGGTTTGTTGGGATATTTAATGGGCTGTGCTTGTGCACCAAACCTAGGACACCAAAACTCTCCTGCAGCCCCAGGAGTGATGCAAGGAGCTGCAAGTCAGAGGTGTAAAGCACCCCTGCATTTCCCTGGCCCTGCAGTCTGTCCATGTCTGATCATTCCTGACATGGAATCGTGGGCAGGAGCAGCAGGAGAGCAGGACCTGCCCACCCGGGACCTTCTGCCCACCCGGGACCTTCTGCCCACCTGGGAGCTTGCCCTCAGCCCAAAGCTGGCAGAGCCAGAGGCACAGCAGCTCCTGCCACATACCAGAGCACAGAACATCACCTGCAAATTGCTGCAAGTGACACCTGGGGAAAATGCTGGAGAGGCTGGCCAGGCTGGCCAGTCGGGTCTGTGGGATGGAGCAGAGCCATGGAAATGCGGGCAAGGGAAATGAGCAGAGCCTGAGCGAGCTGAGCTCGGGTTCCGTGAGACAGAAAATAAAATACTGGCGTGGAACAGGAAACAGAACAGATCCTGCACTCAGGGAAGATCAGAGGGCAAAACTCTGCCCTGGAAGGGTTCCTAAATACCTGCTGTGTCTTTATAGCTGATGTATTTGCAGCCGAGGGACAAGGGAGGCTTTTCCTGAGGTCCCACAAAACATTTGTTTCGTTCTAAGACAAGAGGTGATGAAATCTGGAGATCAGACAGTGGGATCCCTGCAAAAGCACAGCCAGTGCCAGAATAAAGCTGGCTGGGGTTAGCACAGCACCATTCCCACCTGAGCTCGTGCACCTGAGGCCTTTGGCTGCTCAGATCTCCTCTTAGAAGCTTTAATTTTGAATTGTGAGGTTTTGCCCCCTGCAGAATTAATTGTTGTGTAATTAACATCTCCTTTGGTGATCAGGAGTGCCCAAGGATGGAGCTCTGGGACAGTGGGAGGGTCCCTGCCCATGGCAGGGGTGGGTGAGATCTCCGAGGTCCCTCCCAGCTCAAACCATTCCATGATTTACCATCAGCTGGGATGGAGAACTTTCATTCCCTCAGAAGGTAAAAGGTTAAAAACATCTCCTAGGGATGCTGCTAAGCACTGAGAGTTTGTGGGGACCAAAACTTTGGGTTTTTAAAGGAAGGCATTAATCCCTCAGGTGTTTTATTTTTGATTCAGCAATACCTGTCAGAGAACCAGGGTTCTGAAACCTCCCTAAAATATAAACTGTATGTCCAAATAGCTTCCACCAGCAGTAAATGAGAAACAAGAAATGCAACGTTCTCTTTTGTTTTGCAGCTGATCAAGACCAGAACAGAATTTTTATTGATGACTGTTCAGCATCTCTGATTGTTCTCCTTTGGGGTTCAGGTCAGATATACTTGGGTGCCTCAAATTCTAAATTTTCCCACATATGGCAGTGCAGGGAGAAAGAAATGGAGCAACCCAAAACCCTCCCAAGATTCACAAACCACTGATCTGTGGGATAAATCACAGGGTTTCTGTAAGGAAAAAATGGAGTGGTTTTGGTTTCTGCTGTCTTGTAACCACTTCACCATTCACATTCTGTGACTGTTTCAATGACAGCTCAATCCAAGGCCCTGCCCAAATTCCTTAATTCCATTTAGGTCTCCTGTGTTCTTCAGGCAGCCTCCTCCTGCTGCCACCTGTGTCCCCTGCCTTGGGCTGAGGGAGGGCAGGACAAGCTCTGCTGGACCGGGCTCTGCTCCTCCCACAGGAACCCTCACCTGTCCCATTTTTGGGGCTGATTTTTCAGATGTTCTGCTGTTTTTGAGGCTGTGTTGCTGTCACAGGTTGGACTCAGTGACCTCTGGGGCCTTTTCCAACCTCAGTGATGCTGTTGACACATCCAAAATCCACAGGGATTGCCAAGAATTTATTTTGTTATTCCTACTCTGCTACAGAGCGTTGTGGATTCCTCTGGGATTGTCACTGAACAGCAGCTGAGTCTTTGCACGCTGTCATTCACAAAAAATAACTCACCAGCAGTCTGCTGGCTGATGAACCAGCCTTGTCACCCAATCCCTCGGGGCTTGCATGAAACATGACTTCAAAACGTTGAGGGAATTGTGATTTCTGCTGGGATCCATCCAAACACAGCCATTAAAACAAGGTTAAACTGCAGACCTGCACAATGCTGCAAATACACGTGTGGGGCCAGGGTGAAGACTCTCCAAGGAAATCATTTACAAACCCTGCAGAGCCTCCAAAGGAGGGACACGGGGATGGGGAAGGGTCTGGAGAGGCCATGGAGGAGCAGCTGAGGGCACTGGGATTGTGCAGCTGGAGGAGGCTGAAGGGAGACTCCTTGGGGGCTCTGATCTCTGGGACAGGGACAGGAGCCAGGGCAGGGCTGGGGCTGTGCCAGGGGAGGGTTGGGGTGGATTTTGGGAAAGGTTCTTCCCCCAGAGGTGCTGGCACTGCCCAGGCTCCCCAGAAATGGGCACAGCCTGAGGCTGCCAGAGCTCCAGGGATGCCCAGGGTGGGTTTTTGGGTCTGTGCAGGGCCAGGAGCTGGGCTGGATGCTCACTTTGCCCTGCATTGGTTTGGGCTGGAAGGTCCTTGGCGCCCATCTCATCCCGCCCTGCCGGGGGCACCTCCCGGAGCCGCGGCCGCTCAATCCGCGGTGCCCCTCGCGTGTGTCCTTCAGCTCGGCACAGCCGTGACTGCAACTGCGCCAGCACCTCCAGTGACTCCCCGGGCTGTCGCTCTGTGCTGAGCGAGCCCAGCCCCGATCGGAGTCCCCAACGGAGCCCACGGAGCCCTCAGAGCCCCCGGTGCCCTCAGCGCCCTCAGAACCCCCGATGCCCTCAGAACCCCCGATGCCCTCAGCGCCCCCGATGCCCTCAGCGCCCCCGATGCCCTCAGAGCTCCCGGAGCCCTCAAACCCCCGGTGGCCTCAGAGCTCCCGGAGCCCTCAAACTCGCGGAGCCCGTAGAACCCCGAAGCCCTCAGCGCCCTCAGCACTGCCCGGGCGGTGCCGCCCCCTCTCCCCCCAGCCGGGCGGGGCGGGCCCGTGGCGCGGCCGGAAGCGGAAGCGGCGCGCAGGAAGCGGCGGCGCTGGCGGAAGGGGCCGCGCAGGAAGCGGGGCCGGGGCTGCCCCGCGGCCACAACCGGGGCGAGGGCGGCGAGCGGAGCCAGGGCAGGTGAGGGCAGCGAGCGTCGGGGGCGGGCAGCGAGCGCCAGGGGACGGGGGCGCGGCCGGCTCGGCCCCGGGGCGGCGGGGCGGGCATTCGGAGGCCGCCGCCGCCTCCCGGCCCCGCGGGCTCGGGCCGGCCCCGCTGTCACAGGCCCCGGGGGCCCCCGGGAGTGACCGGCGGTGCCGGGGCTGTTGGGGAACCTGGTTTTCCTTGGCTCATCTCGGCACAAAGCACCGGGTCCCGACGTTTCCCCCGCTCCGGGAGCGCCCCTCGGTACCGGCGCTGCCAGGCCGGCCCCGGCTGCTCTCGCCGTGTTTTTCCTCATTTCTCGCTGCTGCAGAGTCTCCCCGTGGTTCTTTAGGCTTTTTAAAGTTCGTGGGGTGTTTATTCATCGAAAACACAGCACGTCGAGCTGTTTTGTGCGACGTTCGTTGTCGGGAATAAATTGAGGTGGGGGCCGCAAAATCCCGTTTAATTTATTGAATATATAAAGCTCTTCCTGCTGTAGAGATTTGTCTTTTATGTTTAAATGAGGTCAGCTCGCTGATGCAGAATGAGGTGTTAAAGCTGTGCTCATTAGCTCAGAATAACCCCAGGAGGAGCTTTAATTGTGCAGAAACTGCAGACTCATGGAGACAAATCCTTCTTCTCCCCCTCCATGGCAGGGGCGGGTTGTGCTGGTGTCATTTGTGTCTTTGTGCAGGATTTTTCCTGTTTTGCCTGTTAATATTTTCATTTCTCTTGCCTTTTGCCCCAGTGCTTTGCTGTTCTCTTTCCTGCTGGATTGTTCCCAGCACGTGGCTGTGCCAGCCTGGAAGGTTTTAGGTTGTGTTGCAATGCTCTGTTCAAACTGAGTTATCCCAGGTGACTGGGGATTGATGTTTTCCTCGGAATTCAGTCTATAAATAGGTAATTTTGGGCTTTACGAGGTTGATCACCCCAAACTAGGCCCTTCCATCCTGCCTCAAAAAGAACAACAAACACAACGCCTTCACTCCTGGCTGGAGAATTCCCCCAGTCCAGAGGAGCAGAGATCCAGTCAAACAATAAATCCAGGTGGGGATTTATAGTTTGAATATCCCCCTTTAAAATAAAATCATGGCAACAGGCAGTTAGTAACTTAAAATGCACCCAAAATGTGTGGCACCCCGTGTTTTGCAGTAATTAGATCACAGTGGAGCTGTCAGTATTTCAATTTTTGGCATCACAGGGAGGCTGCAATGAGGCCTTGCCCAAAGCTTTTCCAAAATCTCCCTTTTTTACCAGTTGTTTATCCTCAATCCCCTGAATTTTGGCACCCAACCTGTTTAACAGGTTCACTGAGCTGGTGATGCTTTGCCCTCCTCCTTCTTGTTCTTGTGTTAGAATAAAATAAATCTTTGCCAGGTACAGTCATGAAAGGATCTCTCAGCATGTGTAGAAGGTGATTTTCTGTCAGCAGTGAGTTCATCTTTGTTCAGTTGCTGATTTGTTGCTTCCATGGTAATTGTGGGTGTTTTTACACGAAGCAACGGAGCCCCAGAGCCTGGGAGTGCTGCAGAGGGGGGACACAGCTCAGGGAAAAGCAGAGAGAGGATCCTGCACGCTGCTTCCAGTGCCCCCCAGCTTTTCTGTGCCTTTGATCTGTAACTCAGCACCCTGAATGTTTTACCTGCTGTTCTCACCTCCAAGAGGAGCTGGTTTGAGGGCTTTTAATGGGATTTTTGGAGAGCGATCAGCTGGAGCCCATTTTTTCCAAAAGGAACAATAAATCATTTTTCTGCTGGGCAGACTTTGGAGTTTTATTTTGCACTGGAATGTTGTAGTTGGTGCTGAGCTGGTGATCCCTGCACAGCTTCCCTGTGACTGCCTTGATCTCAGGGTGGCATCTCTGAAGGTTTTTTATTCATAAAAGGAGCTGATCTCTGGTTAAACCTGTGCTGACATTTCTTCGTCGCTCCCTCAGCTGGGAGGGTTTGTCTGATAATCCTCAGGTTTTGTGTGAGCCCTTGTGTCTAATGAAAGCACAGGTTGTTTTCTGCAGCTTTGTGCTGTTCCCTCTGTGTTTCAGGTGCCTGAATTTCATGACTCTGTGCCCGTTTCCTCCCAGCAGAGATGGGGCCCCGGCGGAAAACCGTGAAAGCAGTGAGCAGGGAAGGGGCAGAGTCTACCAAAGCTGAGGAGCCAAAAGATTACATGAACCAACTCTCCCATGAAGTGCTTTGCCACATCTTTAGGTGAGCAGCCTGGCAGAAATCAGTTCACTTCTTATTTTAGAGTTCTTTATTTTTTCACCTGTTTGTGACACAGTAAACAGTGGCCATACCATGAGTGGAGTGGTGGATAAAAAAGGGATGACAAATGTTTTTTTCAGCCTCCAAAATTCATTTTTAAACTGAAAATTGATTTATGTGTCATGAATGTTAGAATGAAGAAGAAATAAATAAGTGATTTAATTCTGTTACAAATACTGATTTTAAAGCAGAAATATACTCTGGGTAGGGCACAGTTGAGGTGATTGCTTGGGAATTGTTGCATCTGCAGAAGGGATCTGGCATGAGGATGTGACCTCCCCTGCAGCAAAGTCCTTCTCCCAGATGTTCACTCAGCCCTGTTATCCAAAACATAATGCCTCACCCACAAGTTCCTGGTAAACAGCAGCTCTCCAAAACATTTGGGAATTGAGCTTGCAGTATGTGCTAGAAAAAGAAAGTAACTTAATCAAACCTGTTGATGGAAATGGCTGGGTCAGCAGAGTTTGGGCTGGTTTACATTAACTTTAAGGAAGGAATTAATCCCTGTGAGGGTGGGCAGGTCCTGGCAGAGGGTGCCCAGAGAAGCTGTGACTGTCCCTGGATCCCTGGCAGTGCCCAAGGCCAGGCTGGAGACACCTGGGACAGTGGAAGGTGTCTCTGCCTGTCACAGGAGTGGCACTGGCTGGGCTTTAACGTCCCTTCCAACCCTGTGTTTCTGATATACCAGAGAACCAAATTTAATGCTCCATTTGTGTGACTGTTCCACACTCAGTGTCAGGAATGCTGAGTCACTGCTTCAGAACTCTGGATTGAATTCTGTGTGAGAAATGCCCCGGTGCTGCAGGCAGGCTGTGCTTGGGCCAGCTGGGGCTGTCTGTGCTGTCCCCAGGTACCTGTCCCCAGGTACAGGCTGTGTTTGGGCCAGCTGGAGCTGCTCAGGGCTGTCTGTGTGTCCCCAGGTACCTGTCCCCAGGTACAGGCCGTGCTGTGGGCCAGCTGGAGCTGCTCAGGGCTGTCTGTCTGTCCCCAGGTACCTGCCCTTGCAGGACATCATGTGCATGGAGTGCCTGTCGCGGAAGCTGAAGGAGGCGGTGACGCTGTACCTGCGCGTGGTCAAGGTGGTGGATCTGTGTGCGGGGCACTGGTGGGAGTACATGCCCACAGGTGAGCTGCTCCCTGCCTCTCCCCTCTGCTCAGTGACCCTGCACTTGATTGGGTCTCCCCTTCCTTTGCCTGGCTGTCCTGGGGAATGTCTTGCCAAGTCTCTGTCTGCGTGTAAATACAAATTTGGCGTTGCTGGATTAGGTCGTAGGTTGGACTTGATGATTTCAAAGGTCTTTTCCAAGGTAGTTCATTCTGTGATTGTGTGACTGGGAGTGCTCTGTAGGCACCTGGCAATACAATCTGTTTGTCTGATTGCTGGAAGGGAGTTTATCCAGGGGTTATGCCATCAAGAGACTGTTTGCATGCAGGCAGCAAAAAATACAATGGAGTGAGAGAGCAACTCATCTGCCAGCACTTAACAATGTAAGGATAAGATTTGATGTCACACCTTGAGTCACCTGCAAATCGATAGATAAATTTGTCAGTCTGGGTGAGCCCTGTACCAGGATTTCTGTTGCTGAGATTTGGTGGGGGACGCAGCTAAAATGAGGGGATTCTGAAAATGAGAGGATTTGCAAATTGAGATTGACTACGGCTGGTATTAAGCAGGTGTTTAGACCTAACCTAAAATTGGTGTAAATGCAAGTAACTTAGCCAGTTAAAAGCCTTTTTATATGCTGTCTTTCACTAGAATAAAATAAACCTTTGCTTTAAGAAACCATCCTGTTTCTGTCAGAAATGTGAGCTTTGGTGAACAGTGAACTGGAATAAGGGATCCAGCTGGGATTTTTTGACCCATGGAGTTGATAAATGGAATTCCAGGAAAAATAGACCCACAAAGCTGCATGTGAGGAGGGAGAGAGCACAGTGAACCTTGCAGCCATGCAGCTTCTCTGAAGGAAGCCTGTAGCAAACCTGCAAAATTCAAGGCAGAGGAATATTTAGGTCATGATTTCTAGAATGTGGAAGTAAAAGAAAAGCTATTGCTTCACCAAGTGCATCTTTTCAACACCGCAGAACTTGTACTGCCACATAAGGAGAGAAGTGTGTTTGGCTTCCCCTTCAGAGCCAAGTGTCTGCTGCCACACCAATACCAAATGTGTTGTTGTTGTCTTAGGTTTCACTGATTCCAGCTTCCTAACCCTGCTGAGGAAGATGCCAGACATTGAACAACTTTATGGTCTTCATCCCAGGTATCTGGAAAGGCGCCGAGTCCGTGGCCACGAAGCTTTCAGCATTCCTGGAGTTTTAGAGGCTTTGCAGGCCTGTCCAAATTTGCTGGTGAGTGGCTGGACTTGGGAGAGAACCTCCTTCAGCACTATTAAAAGTTGTGACAGGGACTTGGTGCTTCCAGGGCTTTGGTTTAGGCCTGGCTGCACAGGGAGGAGTTAATTGTGACCCTGTTTGCTGATCACAACTATTTTTAGTTGCACCACTGGGAATCCCAGGTGCTCTTAAGCCTAGCGAGGAATTAAAGCTCTGATCCCTCTGCTTTGAAACAGACAAGTCTTGCTAGAAATGAAAAGTGAAATAACGTTGCATTCTGTAGTTTACATGGTTAAGAGGATGTTGTTGTTGTTGAACTGGTGTTAGAGCATTTGCTTTGCTTCCTTTTATCCAGGGTGTTGAGACCTCTCATTTAGAGCTGGTGGAAGCTATTTGGACATACATGCCCCAAGTCCACATTTTAGGGAAGTTTCGTAATCGTAATGGTGCTTTTCCAATTCCTCCTGAGAACAAGCTGAAAATTCCTATAGGAGCTAAAATTCAGACTTTGCACTTAGTAGGTGAGTGTGGTCGTGGTGAAGTAGTTGGCTTCAACACAGGTGGATTTAAAGGCTTTGAAACTCTGCAGATTTGTAATTCTTTGGAGGAGAGGGAGTTTGGGCTGTGGCATCTTGGAGATCTTAGTTGGATATTTGATAGCAGCTGCAAAGGGCAAATTCTAAAGAATTATTGACAAACCAAGGTGAAGAACTTGTGTTTCAAGGGTTTGCAGCTTTTCTCACTTGCCACAAAGCACAGAAAAGCTTCCTTTTGAAAGCCAGGAATTTGTCATGCAGAGGATTAGTCTGAAGCTTGTTTAAAATGTTTGTTTGTTTTGTTTATGTATTATTAGGGGTGAATGTCCCTGAGATTCCTTGTATCCCAATGCTGAGGCACCTTTATTTGAAGTGGGTGAGACTCACCAAACCACAGCCTTTTAAAGATTTCCTTTGTATCAGCTTACGTGCTTTTGTCATGAGGAACTGTGCTGGTAAGAGGGATTCTTCCTGTCTGAAGGGGATGGTAGAGCATGGAGGAAATCTGCTTCTGTTAAAGTCTTGGAATTTCACATTCTGAGAGCAGCCCTTGTTTGATTTGTGGTGTTGGGCAGAAATCTCCCCCTGTCCTGTCCCTTGCTTGGTGCTGTGTGGTTCTGTTGACTTCCTGCTCTAGAGGGATTTGTGTGGATGTGTTTTAGTTCTTCCGTGGGATAATTCAGGGAGAAGTGAACAATCTGCTCTGTCTTTCTGGCCTTGTTGTGTGCAGGACCCACAAACTCTCTGAAGTATGTTCCCCTGGTGACAGGCCTGGCTTCTGCCAGGAATCTGGAGCACTTGGAGCTGGTCCGTGTTCCATTTCTTGGAGGACTTATCCAGCACGTGGTAGAAGACAGCTGGAGATCTGGTGGGAAACTCCTACTCCCTCATAAATAAAAATAAATAAATTAATTAAAGGTTTAGCAAATTCTGGGGGCTTTTTGTCTGTAGCATGTTCTTTTTTGAGTGTTTGGAGCTATGGTCATAGTGCTAAACATGCTCTGTATTTGGTATAATTTTGATATTCTGACTGCAGTTAACTCTTAATAAGCTACATTTGTTGAACCAGGGTTGGAGGAGTTAGGTGCAAATATTTGTTTTCTTCATTTGCTGAAAAAGGTTAAGACAACACTGGTAGAAATGTGTAGGGCTAAGGGCTGTGATGTGAGGCTGAAGTGTAAGAAGACTGTTCTTTATTTGCCAGGTGGTTTTAGGAATTTGCACACTATAGTTCTGGGAGCTTGCAAGAATGCACTTGAAGTGGATCTTGGCTACCTCATCATAACTGCTGCACGAAGGTACCTCCCTTCAGATCTCTCTTGGCTTCCCCTTTTTCAAAATAAATGTCTTAGAAATGACATCCAAGAGCCAGAGCAACCATCAGAATTTAAGGAATACACATACAAACTTTGCATAACAAGAGTGTTCTGTGATTAAAATAACTGCAGATACCCTCTGAGTCCTGCCAGAGTCTCTGTTTTATTAGAACAGGGCACCTTCTGGAGTGTTTTCTGTGTTTTGGCCTGAATTTTGATAGGAGCAATTCTGAATTCCCTGCAGGTTGCACGAAGTGCGGATCCAGCCTTCCTTGACCAAAGATGGTGTTTTTTCTGCTTTGAAGATGGCTGAACTGGAATTCCCACAGTTTGAAACTCTTCACCTAGGCTACGTTGATGAGTTTTTACTACAGTGTATGACACTTTTTATATCCATAAATAACACAAGGATTACAGAAATTGCTGTGTTTTCCATCATGTTCTCAGTGATTAATGACAATATTAATGTTGCATGTGTTGAGGCTGCTGATCTCATACAGCCAAATCTGGTTTTCCTCACTCCCTGAAACTGGGAAAGCTGAGCTTTATTACAGGAATGATCTGATCAGTAGGGAGTTAGAAAATCCTGCTATAAAATACAAATTTACTGCTGGGTCTGCTCCTCTCTTTTGTAGGTAAAATGACGAGTACGGACTTGGTGAGGTACGGCTTGGCTGATGTGGTTGAAAACCCAGGAATTATTACAGATATTGGTATGAAAGCTGTAAATGAAGTTTTTTCTTTCATCAAGTATCTGGTCATTTACAACTGCCCACATCTACATAACCCAAATAATTGGATCACAGGTATTGCACACCTTTGAAATATCAGAGCTATTATATGAATTTCTGTGCTAAACCAGAATTTCTCTGCTCTAGTACTGCTTGTTCTGTTGTTAGTAAGTACAGTAGATGATGCTTGCTTTGGGGCCATGGTGGTGCTGGGAGCAGGATGGAGATCCAGAGGATGCTGCTCTCAGATCTGAAGAGGGGGTGATAAACAAGGAGTGAGGTGGGAATCCCTCAGGAAAGGCCTCTCTTGTGTTCCAGACCACTCGAGGTGGACCCGCCTGGTGGACCTGACCCTGGTGAGGTGCCATGCCATCAAGCTGGACTCTTTCAGTCAGTTCATTGAGTTACTGCCAAGCTTGGAGTTCATTTCTCTGGACCAGATGTTTAGAGAGCCTCCAAAGGTGAATTTCAGAGAATGGTTTGGCTTTTTCTCATTGCCAGGGTTTTTACTTGTTTCCATTTCATTGACAAACCAGTGTGCATTCTTCTCAAAGCTGTCATTAATTGAAGGGATTGGTAATAAATGCCTTTGGTTTGCAGTTGCTTTTAGCATGATATGCTGGGGAGAGCAGTGGCAGGGAATGAACATGTGACCAGAAAATAAAACTCATTGATTCTATCAAAAGTAAAACTCACTGATTCTCTCAAGGTCTCTGCTGATATTTCATTGTGCTGCTGCTTTTTGTATTGTTTTTTCCTCTTAGGCCTCTCTTTGCAATACTAAGAGGTTTTTATGATTTTTTGCTGGGTGAAAGGGGGGTGATATTTCCCTTTTGAAGTGCTTTCAGAGCTTAGGAATTTTATTTCTTCACGTCGTCCCCTCCCACAGCGTAAGACAAATCCTTGGTAAGCTGCTGGCAGGCAATGCAGAGTGTAAAACCTGCTTTCTTTGGCCATTAATGGTACCTGGTGTGCTGGGAAGGCTCTGATCTGCTGTTTGTATTCATGTCATCATCCCACAGCAAATGAATAGATTAACACAATTAATAGATTAAAATGAAGTGCTTAGAGGGCTTTCCCCTTCATTGGGAGTTGAACAGTGTAAGCTCTGGGTTGCCAGCCTGAGGATGGACCTCTGCTCTCAGGAAATCTGAGGGACAGTTCTGCTGTCCCAGGCATTCCAGCAGAGTGCTTTTCCTGGCGCCTTTAGGGGATATTGAGATAACACCTCCATCTTCTCAAATCTGAATTTCTGCCTTTGTTTCAGGGCTGTGCTCGTGTGGGCCTGAGTGCAGGCACAGGAATTGGGGTCTCCTCTGCCCTGGTGAGCAATCAGAACTCCAACAATGACAATGACAACAACAACAACCACCAGAACAACAACAACAACAACCCCAACATGCACCACAACAACCACCAGCACCCCAACGAGCAGAACGAGGAGAACGAGCTGCGCCAGGAGGGCCCCGCTGAGGAGCAGCAGATTGGGGCTGAGGGTAATCCTGGGGGGCTTTAGGGGGTTTGCAGCTGAGGGTAATCCTGGGGGGCTTTAGGGGGTTGGCAGCTGAGGGGAATCCTGGGGGGCTTTGGGGGGTTTGCAGCTGAGGGGAATCCTGGGGGGCTTTGGGGGGAATTGCAGCTGAGGGGAATCCTAGGGCAGCTTTTGGGGTAGGATTTTATCTGCAGTCCCACTCACATAGGCTCCTGGTGAAGATGGGAATCTGCCCTGAAAGCTTGTTGCTCTTTCAGCTCCTGGTGTGGAGCTTTAATCTGAATGAGCTGAGCTCCAAAAGTTAGGCTGGGCTTTGGCTACAGAGATGCAGAACAAATCTGATATAATTTGTGAAACCCAGGGGTTCACCAAAGGAATCAGGGCAGTTTTCAATTATTTCCTGTGGGAGTTTGAGGGCTCAGTTTGTTCTGTTTCCTGTTCCTGACCTCCTGTTCCCTTTGCAGCCCTGAATGAGATGGAGGAGGTGGCACAGGAGGAAGGGGAGGCTGCTGGGCAGGGCCAGGACGAGCTGCCAGCTCCCAGCCAGGCTGTTGTTCCCATGGAGGTGGATGAGGAGCAAGCAGGTAACTGGGTTTGGGAGGAAATCACCTCTTGGTATCTCCCTGAGGGATTCATTTTCCACTCTAAGTCTGGTTTTGGATGTTTGGCTTTAGCAGGGTTGTCTGATTTTGAATAATGATGTTAGCACAGCTTAGTTCTGTGAAGGAATTTATTCTCTGGTACAGCCCAGAGCTTTCTTTGCATGTGCAGGGAAATACTTTGACCTTAAACCTGATTTTTGTGCTCAGTATAATAAAGGTCAGAAAGCCTCAATGAACTTGTCCTGTTGCTCTCTTGGTCTTCATGGCCTTAGTTCTTTCACTGCAGCACTTGGGTTGTTTTTGTCTTTTCTCAAGCCACACAACTTGTTCCAGTGTTAATTTAATTTAATATAATTAGTAACACAAGGCAGTCTTGATTCTTTTATTGCCACTTTTTGCTGGACAATATAATTTTCTACTGAATATCCCAACAACCCGAAGTAACACTCCATTGTGGCACTCCTCCCCTTCCAAACCAGCATGCTTTAATGCTGACATGCAGTATTTTGCTCTTCTCCCATTTAGATTTTAGTGAGGTGCCCACAGAATGGGTGACTAAATTGACTCCAATTAATTTCTTATCAGTTTTTCAAGCAGTGCTAAAAGATTTTCAGCCCTTTAATCCATGCCTGGTTAATTTTTACATGAAATGCTGATACTCTCCTTCTCAGGACCAAGTGGAATTCAACCTGCTGTAAAAGCAGCTCCTATTACCATCCATGATTCAGACAGTGAGGATGAGGAGGAAAACATGGGCACTTCCAGAGCCTGCATCTCCAGCAGCATTGCACAGAATTACTCAGATGGGGAAGAGAAGAGCAGGGATCCAGTGGAAACCAGGGAACCTTCAGGTGTGCAGCATTCCTGCTTAAGCTTCAGTCTTTCCATGTGGTTCAGGTTCATTTCCAGCTTGGTTTGGAATGTGGAGTGAAGGTGGAAGGAGATGTTTGAGCTGCAGTCACAGGTCTTGTACAGAAACACAGATAATGGTGCTGCACTGAACAGAGACCTGCAGCTCCCCTTTGGGGTTCCCAGTGGACAGAATTTATCACTCCTGTGAGCCCACAGTGTGGATGTCAGTTCTGGCTTCAGGGGGAAAGGAATCTGTGTTTGGAGAGAATTTACATCAATTTTGTACTGCCAATATTGGGGATTTGGGGCTTGGGGCAGTACAATGAGCTGAGAGGATTCATACAGACATTCAGGAGGAATTCCTGCATGGAAAGGGTGCTCAGGCCTTGGCAGGAGCTGCCCAGGGAGGTTTGGGTCATCCCTGGTGGTGTCCAAGGAAGGGTTGGAGGTGGCACTCAGTGCTCTGGGCTGGGGACAAGGTGGGGATGGGGCACAGCTGGGACTGGATGGGCTGGGAGGGCTTTTCCAACCTCAGTGATCCTGGGATTAAGTTCTGTTATGATTTGTGTGGGTTTTTGTTCACCTGTGAGCTGAGCCTGCTGTTACTGCTGGCAGCACTGCCCAGACCCAGGAGGGGGAGCTGAGCTGCTGAAACGTGAACTTCAGTCCTGTCTGTTCCTGTTTGATTCCTCAGATGTATTCCTCTTATTTAAGAAAACAGAAGCCTCTCTAGATTAAATATTAGAAAAAAAATCCCTCCCTGGGAGGGTGTGAGGCCCTGGCACAGGTGCCCAGAGCAGCTGGGGCTGCCCCTGCATCCCTGGCAGTGCCCAAGGCCAGGCTGGACAGGGCTGGGAGCACCTGGGACAGTGGGAGGTGTCCCTGCCATGGCAGGGGTGGCACTGAATGTGATTTAAGGTCCTTCCAACCCAAACCATTCCATATTCTTTGATTCTGTTATCAGTGTGTCTTTCATTTTGCTGTACCTGTGTGAGCAGTGAGCTGCTCTGGACAATCTGGTGGATTTGTGTGCAAACCCTCCAGCACATCACTCCAAAAACAGCTGCAAGATCTTCCAAAGGTGCAGCAACAGCTACAAATACCAGTAATTGCCATTCCTGGGGAGATTGTCACTGGCCTCTGGGCTGCCCTGTGTTTCAGTAAGAGAGGAGCACTGAGGTTTGTTGGGGTTTCTCACTGCTCTCCCTTCACTCCTGCAGTGAGCGGCAAAGGCAAGACCCCCCTGCGGAAGAGATGCGGCACCAGCCACGGGGGCCAGGCCAAGCAGTTCCCTGTGGAGGAGAGCAGCTGTGAGAAGGGCTGCCAGGTGACCAGCGAGCAGATCAAAGCTGACATGAAAGCAGCCAGTGACATGCCCGAGAGGAGCAAGAGCAAGGATTCCTACGGCAGCTGCAGCAACGCCCCGGCGTCCACGGCTACACCCAGCTCCTGCAGTGCTGCTTCCCCCAGCCCTGACTGTGCCCAGGCCACCCAGAGGCACTGTGCTGGCAGCAGCCCAGCAGCTGGAGAGGAGTGCAGGCAGTGTGGCTGCTCTCCCTGCAGGAGGGAAGGGTGCAGTGAGAGGGAGCCCGAGGAGAGCTCCGTGTGCTCCCGCTGCTGCTCCCGGGCGCGGCAGCGCAGGACGAGCGGGGGGTGCGATGGGGAGAGCCCCTCCACCAGTGGGGCCTGCAGGGACGGGCCAGACTTTGCACTTAGGACACTGCCAGACTGTGGGGCCGCAGGAGAGCCTGGGCATGACAGGACTAGTGGGAGTGCCTGTGGGGCTGGCAGCCGGGAGCAGAGCGCGCGGCCCCCGGGCTGGCAGCTGGACTGCAAGGAGGAGTACCCACGGAGACCCCTGACCAGGGCCAGGAGCAGGCTGTCCCACGTGCCTCTGGTGTCAGAGCCAGGTAGGACTCACAGCCAGCGTAACTGCAGCTCCCCAGGAGCTCTGATGTGCAGCTTGTTAGTCAGGGGTTTAAACCTGAGTGGTTTCAAAGGGTCAGAGCGTGATGGAACAGAGGTGCCATCACCAGGTTTCTCTGAAAGTGCCACTGACTTTTTCCTCCATGCAGCTCTTTCTGTGTTCTTCATAATTCTAACCAGTATTTGCTTCACTCCATTGAAAAGCAAATGCAATTTTTTGGTACTCTGCCTGCGTGTGGAGGCTGTGGTTCATTGAAACAGAAGTTGTCTCTCCATTAAAAGACTCCCTGCAAAGGCAGCAGCTACACTTAGATCTGAACAGGAAGGCAAAGGTTATAACTGGTGCTTTATCAACTAATGAAGTCATAATTACAATTGAGCCAGGCTTTGGACCTGCATTGGGTTCTGCTTCCAAGGGTTTAAGGCAGGGTGATAAAACTTACTGAAAATTGCCCTTTTGTTAAACACCTTCATGCTTCACATGATTGTTTTGTTCACCTGACATAAAATAAAACCCCTGAAGGACTGGAATGAAGGGAGAAAACAACAGATGTGAGAGGGGAACTTACTGTTTCTTTCAAATATACTTGGTTTCCAAAATAATCATCTTAGTGTTTACAACCTCATATATCCAGGATTCTTTGCTGGGAATGTCTGGCAGGTAGAATGAAACTGAAGTTGAAATGTGCTGCTTACACAACTGTGAGTGCTGGAGGTAGGGACGATTGAGGGCAAATTCCTGCCTCTGTTAACATGGAATGATTCAAACACTTCATATCCTGGTGTTCTTCCAGTTTATTTAATGCTCCCACGTGTTAACAAAACCTAAATCACCTCAGATGTTCTGCAGGTAGATGCAGCTGAGGTTTCAAGAAGAGATTTTCCTAATAAATTTAAAATGTCTGGTTTCTGCCTTAGGACCAGTAATTAATTTGGGGATCTTTGTGCACATGCCATGTGTTTTAATAAAGACAGCTTAGTTTTAGTAAAGTAATTTCTCATTTTGCTGTGTTAATGACAGAAAATTAATTCTAGGGCATTTTTTTCGTCTTTGTATTGGAAGTAATGCTTGTGGTGATTTTTTTCCAAAGACTCATCTGTCAAATCAAGCAGGAATTTGAGGTCCCTGGTGGAGCTTGGGAACATTAAAGGATTTATACCTGGGCATCCTTTGCAGTATTAGGAAGAACTTTGTGACAGTTACAAAGAACAGATTTTCCAGAAGTTTGAGATAATTTCTGCTATTTAAACATTAAAGCTATTTTGGGTCTTGTATCTGTCAAGAATGTTCTGTTTCCTGCAGAGATTCAAGTGTAACCTAACCATGAATCTTTTCCTGGCTCCACATCTTGCTGTGGTGTAGGTTCAGTATTCCTGGGTTTTCACTGTAAAGTTATTTATTTAATAATTCTGAGCACCAAGCTGGCAGTGGGGTTTGAGCAAGCAGAGATTTGTTCTGAGGCCAGGCAGGTGTTTGGATTTACCTGGGTGGGAAAAGTTGTCATGGGCTGTTCTCAGCTGTCCTGACGTGGAGCAGAGGAAAGATTTTGCCATGTTTTTGTTTCCAGAAGTAGCAAAGCCAAAGCCAAGGCAAACCACCAAGAGGAAAAGGACAGCTGACAAATCCACCAGCACCAGTGACCCTGTGATTGAGGATGATCATATTCAGGTAAGGGCTTTTCCTTCACCCCTGCAGCTTCAGCACCATAAACACCTGTTGGGAACTGAAGCTGTATTGCATTAATTCATATCCTCCTGTATCTCATAAAATTCAATTTATTGTTCTTTCATTTTTAACCTTTCACACTTTTTTTTTCCCTTTTCTCCAGGTACTGACTTTGAAATCCAAAAACCTTGTAGGAATCACATTGACCAACTGTGGAATAACAGATTTGGTGCTGAAAGACTGCCCCAAAATGATGTTCATCCATGGTATGTGGTTCATGGCGGGGCTGCCTCCTCCCTCTGGCATTATTGGAGATTCCAGAAAGAATTCAAGTCAGGCCACTGCTCATTTTGTATTCATCAGCTGCATTGCTGATGAATTAGAGCTCCAAATATTGCTGCTTCCCACTCTGAATGGCTCTTATAACAGCTTTAATAAAGATTAATATCTGAAAATCAACAGCTGAAATGATCTGACAATTAGGGAGATGAGATGTTTATTGAAGAGTGGTAATACAGTAATTAGGAGTTGATGAAATGAGTTTGAGTACCTTGTTTTTCTCTCATTTCTTCATTCTCCCCTAGGTTTTTCAGCTGACAGGATGATACTTCTGCTCCTTGACATGATAAAAATCTGTTTGCGGTGCTGGCACTTAGGTTGCATTAGTTTCACATGCCAGGGTGTGACTGCTCCTGGATTGGGTCATTTATTGTTTTCTGCACCATCCAAATGAAGACTTTTTCTTCTGACATCAGATCTGTCTACTTAGCAGAAAGAAAGGAGTTGTTTCTTTATTCTAGAATACTTTGAGCACACATTGATTTTGAAGACAATTTTCATTACATGAGCAGTGTTGCTAGAAAGGAAACAATTTTATTTTCCATTGTGTGGCTCCCCAATCCTCTGTGTTTGAGCTGATTCTGGAAGTTGTGGCAGTCCTCAGACCATTTCAGTGAAAGGAAACAGAGGGAGGAAAAGGTTATTAGATGAATTTTGACATGGCCTTTTAAAAGGCCACTTCTGGCAGGGTCACAGCTGAAAAGTTTGATGATAATATGGAGAAAATGAAGAGCTGGGCTATATCTGATATATAATATTTTGGAACTTTTATTGCTTGTTTGCCTTCTTTTGAGCCTGCCAGCCTTGAAATGCACTGACAGGAGGCTCCTGAGGTGTTTTATTTCCTTTTGCAGCCACCAGGTGCCGTGTGCTGAAGCACCTGAAGGTGGAGAATGCCCCCGTGGTGAATCGCTTTGACTACGCCCAGTGCAAGAAGCTGAACATGGATCAGGTGCTGGATCAGATCCTCAGGATGCCCCCAGAGAGGAACAGGATCATCTACCTTCGTCCCATGCAGCAGGTACAGAGCCAGCCTGGCCTCCTGGGGCACCCTGCAGCTGGGGCAGGGAGTGGGACAGCAACACAACCCTGAAATTTGGTGTTTGAACCCAGCAGGGCTTTTATTGCAGAGCCTGCTGCTTGGATTTTAGGATACTCTGCTGGATTAAATATTGAAGTTCACTATCTCCAGTATTCACCGCATTAGAGGGTATTATAAACTGCACTCTTAAAGGTGCAGAACTTCCTATCCAGCATAAACAGAACAGGTGATTGGGGATACCAGCTTCATAAAGTCACCCTAGGACAGATGCACTGAGTTCATTTCAAACTGAATAACTCAGATTGTGAGAGCCTGGCTGCTCCTGGTAGCTGTGTGTGAGCAGAGCATGGCACAGGGATCTGGAATCCTTGACCCATGTCCTGTTAGACTGAGGAACAGCAGAGTTTGGGGTTCTGGAGGCTCCATCCCCTCCTGATGCGGGAGTATTGCAGGAACTGGTGGGACTGGGAGCCGCCCTCTCCTCCCCAGGCTGTGAAGGAGCTGGAACAGGGACATTTAGGGAGTTGTTTAAATCATCTAATGAGGATCTATGAGGGCTTCATGTAAGATCTGTAAGGTTGGGAAAGTTTGATTTTATCCTTCTGTGGTGCTGCTCCTCTCCTGCTTTCCTGTCTTGGTTTGCCAACAGGGGAAGGCTGATTGTACGTAAAATCCATAAGATCAGCTTTGCTTTGAAACCACATCTCTTAAAGGACGGTGATAAAAATATTGGATGGGAATAAAACCCCAAATCACTGATCCCCTTCTTGTAACAAAAATTCAGAGAAAAAAAATGTAATTTTAGACCATTCTGTAATTTCACAGAGTTTATTTCCGCATTAGAGTTGGGAAAGACATCAGAAATTAGACATTTCCCATCCAGTTTCAGGACTCAAGAAGATAAACTGGCAAAGCTGCCCTGGGGAGGTTTCACTGCCCTCAGTCCTGTATTTATTTGTGCTGTTGAAATTCTCTCCCATTGCTGCATTTCCCAGGGATTTGGTCAATACCTGCTTGCTCTTGACTCTGCAGCCCATGACAATGTTTGTGGTGCTCACAAGTCTTTGTCCCCAGGTGGACACACTGACTCTGGAGCAGAAAATCTTCAGTGGCCCCTACCCCTACCACATCTGCATCATCCACGAGTTCAGCAACCCCCCCAACGTGCGCAACAAGGTGCGGGTGAGGAGCTGGATGGACACCATAGCCAACATCAACCAGTGAGTACTGAGACACCATAGCCAACATCAACCAGTGAGTACTGAGACACCATAGCCAACATCAGCCAGTGAGTACTGAGACACCATAGCCAACATCAGCCAGTGAGTACTGAGACACCATAGCCAACATCAGCCAGTGAGTACTGAGACACCATAGCCAACATCAGCCAGTGAGTACTGAGACACCATAGCCAACATCAGCCAGTGAGTACTGAGACACCATAGCCAACATCAGCCAGTGAGTACTGAGACACCATAGCCAACATCAACCAGTGAGTACTGAGACACCATAGCCAACATCAGCCAGTGAGTACTGAGACACCATAGCCAACATCAGCCAGTGAGTACTGAGACACCATAGCCAACATCAGCCAGTGAGTACTGAGACACCATAGCCAACATCAACCAGTGAGTACTGAGACACCATAGCCAACATCAACCAGTGAGTACTGCTCACATCCAGGCAGCCCTGGCCCTCCCCAGGGAGCATTTGCCCTCCAGGGACTCTGCCAAGGTGTCCTGGAGCAACTGCAGCTCCAGACTTGCTCTATTCTGTCACCCGAATTTAAAAAAAAAAACAAACCTTTTGTTACTACTGAAGGTTGAATTCTTGAGTACAGTGTGAATCCAGTGTCAAGATGTATTTAATATAAAGCAGGCTGTGAACCCGTATGGAAAATCCTATGAATTCCCCAGCAATAACCTCACATTCATCCAGGAATAATGCAGTTGTACATTGAAGTTGTTGGAATAGTTAGGAAATGTCTTCAAAGCTGAAAAACAAGTCATTTTTAAAAGAGTGGTTTGCTTCAGGAAATATTGTTAGGAAGGTGATGTTCAGTCAGTATCAGCTCCTGAAGGTTCCCAGCAGCAGGGAACTGTGTCAGTGGATCTTATCCAGCAGTTCTGACTGTCCCTGTTGACTGTGGTTGCTCTCCAGAGTGAAGGGATGAAGGCTGAGTTGGTCTGAGGCTCTTGGGGCAGTTTCTCCATGGATTTAAGCTCATTTGAGGGAAGGTTGTGTGTTAGGATTTCTCCTTTGCTTTTTGTCCCTGCCACCTCCCCATTGGGGCAGTTTTTCCATGGATTCAGGCTCATTTGAGGGAAGGTTGTGTGTTAGGATTTCTCCTTTGCTTTTTGTCCCTGCCACCTCCCCGTTTCCTGGCTGTGACCTCTCTGTCCCTCCTTGTCCCCAGAGAGCTGATTAAATACGAGTTCTTCCCTGAGGCTACCAGGACTGAGGAGGACCTGAAGAAATACCCCAAGTACCCCTGGGGCAGGGACATCTACACCCTGGAAGGTGAGAGTTTGTGGGGAGCTGAGGGCCCCTGCTCAGCCTCTTGCTGAGAGAAGAGCTTTACATCATCCCCAGAGAGGGGGAGAATATTCCTTGTGAGGAGGTGGGGGAATAAGTGGGGATTGCTCTGTGCTGAGGATTTGGGGGTGCTGGTGCTGCAGGGGTGCTGTTTTCCTCTTGGCTGCTCACCTGTCCCTCTGCAGGCATTGTGGATGGTGCTCCTTACTCCATGATCACTGACTTCCCCTGGCTGAGGTCCCTGAGGACAGCAGAGCCCAACAGCTACGCCAGATACGACTTTGAGGATGATGAGAGGAGTGAGTAGCCTGCTCTGGTTCTTCACAGATTTGCTTCTCTGGCAGTGCCTCCCTTTCCTTCTCAGTTTCCTGCTCCTTAGGCTGGCTTTGGTAGATCTGGTGTTAAGGTGGGCTGGAGAGAAGTGAGAAAACTCACAGAAATTTGATATAAAAGTTGTAAACTGGACTTGGAAACTCTGGCATGGAGATTATGTGGGTTAGAATTTATTGCAGATGTGGCTCTTTCTATTGAGGAGCTTGTCTGCTCAGATATGATGGTAGGCAGAGCCTGGGGCTCAATTAAAAATCTTGCTTGCTAGCAGAGAAAAATAATGTTCTTCCCTTACTTAATTAGGAACATCCTAGTTAAAAATACCTCTACCTCTACCTCTGGTTAAAAATACCTACCTTCATTAGAGGTATTTTTAATCGATCCTGGCTTGGATAATCTTACCCAGCTCCAGTTTAGGAATCTCAAGAGGACAAGGAAGAGATTTTTTTTTTTGGCTATACTTTTCCATGGTTTTATTTTTTAATTTATTTTTAAAATTTTATTTTGGACTGATTTAATTTAATTTTATTTTAGCTTGGCTTGATGCCTGTAGTTCAATATGAAGACCAAATTACCAAAGAATTGATAAGTATTTAATATCAGGATGTTAAAGAGTCATGATGTTAAAGCCATGAAAACTCAGGAGAGCGCTGCTGCTTTGTTTGCAATTTATAACAATTGTTGTTGTTTATAAAACATTTAAGTAATGGATAACCTGGAATTATGTCAGAGAGGACTCAGGGAAAGGCTTTCTGGTGCTCTGAGGTTCATTTCACTCCCAGCATTTGGAGATGAGGACTAGAGCTGTGGGAAGCCCTGAGGAAGGCAGGGGAGAGCGTCCCTGAAACGCGGCCGGTCGAGGGAGGCTTTTCCTCCCTGAGTGTGAATGCAGGCCCAGCCTGGCTGGGGAGCCCTTTCAGGAGAAACATCTCCTTTTCCTTGCTGTCCCTGCCCAGCCACCATCTACGCCCCGAGGAGGAAGGGGCAGCTCTCAGCTGACATCTGCATGGAGACCATCGGCGAGGAGATCTCGGAGCTGCGCCAGGTCAGGCGGGGCGTCTTCCAGAGGGTCGTGGCCATCTTCATCCACTACTGCGACGTCAACGGGGAGCCCGTGGAGGATGACTACATCTGAGGGGTGTCCCCAGCCTGCCCTCCCTCCCCCTGGCACTGCTGGCCAAGAACAAGCAGGATTTCTTTTTTCCAAATGCAAAGCATTTCCCACCGAGGCGCCCTCGGCTCTCCCTGTGGCCAGGAGGATGTAGTTAAATGTAAAATGGAAAGTACAAATTGTATACTAAGAGTTGTACATAGAGGAAACAAAAAAGCAAAAACAAAACTTCCTAATACTGAGACTTTATTTCATATGTTTATACAATTTAATTTAAGTTCCATTTTAATGAAGGCCAATAATCAGGAAAGGGGAAGAAGATTTGAACTTTTCAACCCATACAATTCATAGCAGTATTTTTTTTCCTTATAAACAACAATTCCATTTGCTGTGTTCAAAAGAGTCATCAGAGTCTCTTTTAATCTGTGCCTTTTTCTTGAGCATTTAAGAGTCCAGTCTGAGTAAACCTGGTGAGCACAATCTTGGTGTCTTGTGTGCATCTTTGGAAGGGTCAGAATATTCTCCAGCTGTTGCAAAGAAGGCCAGAAGCAGGAAAAAAAAAAAAGTAGAGAATTTGGTGATCTGTGGTAGTTTCTAGAGATATTCAACCCATTTTTTGGGGGAAAGGAAGCCCCCATGTTTAGCACCTTGGAAGCAGAATGTTCTCAAGCATTTTGTACTGTTAGATTTCATTTTCTCGGTGTATTTGACTCTGTACTATGGAAATCAAGTTGCTGATTGTTGGCTCCACCCTCCTGAGCATCACTGTGCCCGTTGTGGCTGGCTGGAAGCTGAGCTGTCCCTCCAGGCAGGCAGAGCAGGGGCTGTGGAGCTGCCTGGTGTGTGTGACACAGCCGGGGAGCTCTGGCTCTGCTCCCTCCTGAATGCACATTTCCCACTGGTCAGTAAAAACTGCTGCTGTTTGCCCCAAGTGTGTGTGTGTGGTGTATTGAAAGGTGCTCCCAGTGCCCACAGGTGTTTGGTGGGGATTTGCTGCCAGTGAGGTGTGAAATGCACATTTTGGTGTGGCACTCCCGGGGTGCCAGACCTTGCAGAGGCCAATCCCCAGCTCTGGCCTGGTCTCTCATCCATGCTGGTTTAAAACTGGTGTCACCAGCCTAGAAAATGACACTTCCTGAGGTAAAAGCTGTACAGTTTAAACCATTTTATCCAGTTTTGCTCATCATCCTGATGGTGATTTTCTGAATTTGGGGTTAGTGTGGCTAATGGGGATTTCTGTGATGTTTAGCTCTGTAAAACTGAGGTGAGGCTGCTCCACACGGCCAAGGCAGTGTTGGTTTTCTCAGGCTCTCTGTGGGAATTCTTGGGATAATGTGGATCTAGAAATATGTGGGATAAGAGGGGGAGAATGATGCCTAATGGGAGCATTTCCTCAGCCCTGCTCTCTGCTGACTGGAGGTGGAGCACTAAACACCAGAGAATAATGTGAATGTTACTAAATTTGCTTTAATGCAGGATCACAGTCAATGGTTTATTATAACTCTTCTATTTAATTAACCGTAGATCATGTATTCAATGATATTCAGCCAAAACAATTGTGACCCTTTCTAGAAGTGTTTCAAGTCCTCTGAGTCATTGATTCTGTCAGATTTACCATTTTAGTCCAGAAAATGTTACTGAGTTTCTGGAGAACTGCAGCAGTCTCCAGCTGGTATCTCCTTACTGCAGCCTTTTGCAGAAGTATTTACACAAATAAAGTGTTTGTTTATATTCAGTATCTCTGGAAGTAATTGAACCTTGCAGTGATTTTGCCCTCTGAAATGTGACACCCATTTTACACCAGTGCCTGAATCCCCTGTGTCCATCTCCTGAGGGCTGTGGGGAGGGAGGAGCTGGGATCTTCTGGGGGTTTGATCTTTTGGCTCTGAGCTTCCTCCTCTCTCCATTTCCTGGCTGTTTTGGGCCCTTTTATTCAATCACCATGGCAGGGCAGGTTTCCCTGGCTCTGCCCAGCTCAGATGTTTCTGTGCCAGGCTTCTCCTCCCTCCTGTGCCTGGTGTGTGGCAGGAGGAGCAGCTGCTGTCCCTCAGGTGAGGGGACAGTGGTGCTGCTCCTCCTGCAGCACAGGAGTTGCAGCTCTGTGGGGACAGGCTGGGGTCCAGGGGTGTTTGCTCCTGGGTCCCCAAGGGAGCTCCAAAGGCAGCCTGGCCAGCACTGAGCTGCAGGTAAGGAGATGATGGGGGAAATGTGAGGGCACCACCTCTGTGCCCTGCTTCCCCTGGATGTGGCTTTGGGGAAAACAGGAATTTTTTGTGGAGCAGGAATTTCTTCCCTGGGTCAGCTCTGACTCAACCACTCTGGGCAGGTGAGATCTTGGTGGGGTTTCTGTCCCTGTGTGCAGAAGCACAGTCAGAAGGACTCTTACAGTCACAGGGGGCTCCTCTTGCAGTCCCTGAGGAGCACTGAGCACCCCAGGTCCATCCAGCTGGAAAAGGCAGCTGCTGGTGGAGGTTCCACTGGCTGGGAGTGAGCCTGAGGTGACTCTGGTGCTGCTTTTCCCACAGCTCCTGCTGAAGAGGATGCAGAGATCCCAGCTGGGAGAGGCTCAGGTGCCTGGAAATGTCATCCAAATAGTACAGAAGGTAAACAGGGAAAGGCCAGGGTGTGTTTGGGCACAGCACAGGGGCACAGCCTCCTGCTCACTGTGCTGGGGCTGCTTTTCCCTCTCCTTGAGGAGAGCAGAACCAGTGCTTGGGTTTCAGAAAGGGAAGGATTTTGGAAGTGTTTTTGTTTGAGGAGAAGCTGTAAGGGGTTGATGGAGACAGGAATGATGCCCCTGCTCTCTCTCCAGGCTGTGAGGATCCCCTTGCCCAGGATTTCCACTTTTAGTTCCCAGTTAGGCAATTCCAACTTCACCTCTTGTCAGGGTGGGACAGGGACACCTTGGCCCTGTGTGCCCTGCATGTGACAACAGGGCAGCCAAAGCCAGGGCCTGGAGCGCTCCCTTCAGCTCCTCAGCACTCCCTGGGGGTTGGCAGGAGATAAACTGGGGGTTTATTCAGGAAGATTTATACAAAAACTGGAAGAACTAAAAGCTTTGGTATATTTTTATTGAGTCTGTGTTATTAATCCCCTGCAGATTTCTTGCCTTTTGGCCTGGGAGTGCTCAGAGGTGGCTCAGGAGCTCAAATGTGGAGGAAAAGGGGATCCTAAACTGGGGAAGGGTTCCCAGCTGCCAGGTACAGAATGGAAATGCTCTCCTTGCCTTCAGCACTGTGAGCTGGGTGGGAATGACTCAGTGCCTGTGTGGGCTGCCTGCTCCCAAAGCAGCTCCTGGCTGGAGCTGCTCCTGCTTCTCATCTGTGCTGGGAACGAGCTGGACACGATCTGGGCCCCATTGGTTGGTTCTGGGCACGTTATTAAGTCAGGCTGACACAAGGAAGTGCCTTAAATACCTTCAGATTCTCCCTCGTTTTGCTGAGCAGGGCCAGCTGGGAGTGAACTGCATCCTAAAGCCACGATCTTGGGTGAGGTGAGCTTTAGGCTGGAGATATCTGCAGCAATCCCTGAATTGAGAGTATTTGGAAATGCAAAAGCAGCATTTATGTAGCTAATGCAGCATTGCTGATTGTTCCCAGAGTTCTGGAGCCAGCAGGGCACAGGAGGAGCAGATGAGGTAAAATCAAAGCCATTTTCAGTCAGAGGCAAGGTGAGCATTGTTTACCTGTCAACTCTGCAGGTTTCAGTGACACATTCCCAATGTTCCTCCTCCCTGAAGTGTCCTTTGGTGGAACAGACACCCCTGGAGGAGCAGAGTTTGCCAAAAAAAGTGTCTCTGGAGCAGGGAATCCCCTGCTCCACATCCAGGGGATCCTTGGCTTCCATTTCTCACATGAATCCCTTTGGATGGCTCTGATCCCATCAGCAGCTCCACAGGGACCTGGGAATCCTCCAGGTAAGGGGCCAGGACAAGGTGGGGGCTCCTGGACTGCAAATAAATCATGATTGGGAATGAACAACTTCCTGTGAGCAGGGGGACAGTCAGGAGCAGGGCAGGGACTGTCCCCTGTGCTGGCCCTGCTGAGGGACCTCCAGTTCTGGGTCCTTGGGCAGGAGGGACCCGCAGGGGCTGGAGTGTGTCCAGGGAAGGGAACGGAGCTGGGAAGGGGCTGAAGCTCCAGGAGAGGCTGAGGGAGCTGGAAAGGGGCTCAGCCTGGAGAAAAGGAGGCTCAGGGGGGCCCTTGTGGCTCTCCCAACCTCCCTGGGCGGTTCCAGTGCCTGAGCCCCCTTTCCATGGGGAAATTCCTGCTGTGCCCACCCTGAGCCTGCCCTGAGCCCCCTTTCCATGGGGAAATTCCTGCTGTGCCCACCCTGAGCCTGCCCCTGGAGCCTCCTGAGGGGCAGCAGGGAGGTGGCTCCTGCTCCCAGCCTGGAGTGCCAGCAGCACCAGAAATGAGCCCAAGCTGGAGTTCACTGCCACATCCAGAGAGGAGTTTTTATTTGTAGGAACAGCCACTGCAGCACAGACACTGAGCACAGGCAAGGACTGGCACCACCAGCCACGATGGGCAAGGCTGAACGGGGAGGCCACAGGAGCAGCCAGGGGATGCAGAGTGGGGCTCTCCATGAGACCCCTCCTTGTGCAGGGAATTCTCCACTGCTGGTGGCACTGCTGGGTCACACAAGCTGTGCTGGGATTGTTGGCTGAGTGAGCAGCAGCTGCCAGGTGAGCCCAGGGAGGGATCAGAGGTGTCCTGGTGTCCATCCAGGACAGGGACATTTGGTGGTTGGAATTTCATCCAGTTGGAAGGGGGTAGCCTTTCCCCAGTGAGAGCCTTTGACCATTTTGGCTGGTGAGCCACTGCTCCCATTGATAGAGCCTTGGGAATGTTGCCCCTGGGGAAACTGGGAGTTTATTTTAAATGAAAAAGAGATCTTTCCCTAATGCACATAAAACAAAGGAGAAAACAATGCCTGAAGGACAAAGCAGAACCAAAGAACCCCTCCCTGTGCTGCCGGTTCCATCTCAGTCCAGGAAATTTCACACCAAGATTTGATGCCCTTCAATGGGGACAGAGAAAATCTTTTTTTCAGGATTTCTTTGAGAAATTTGACACTTGAGGGGAAACCAAGCCAAGCTGTTCTGCAGCCTCATGTGCCCAAAGCCCAGCAAACCCCTGTGGGCACTTCCACAGCACTGAAGCAGCCCTGGATGTTTTTTTCCAAATTTTCAATAATAGCTTTTTTCTCTCCACAGTTCTGGTGTCAAGAGTAAAATTAAATTAAGTTTTTTGGAAATAAAACCCTGTAAAAACAGGTCATTGCCAACTAGGTCCCAGAGATGAACCAGGAGCACCTTCCACCACAAACACCAATAATTTGTGTCTTTCCAGCAGCCAGCAATTTTCTACCTCAGCATTCTAGCTGGGGCTGTTTCTGCCCAGTGTCCTTCTGAATCCTACAGGAAAAGGGTGTGAAGCTTTACCAGTGACTTTGCTGTGGAAGAAATATTTAAAGAAGTCAGACACCATGGCCAGGAAGCCACTTGTTCTTCTCATGCACAACATTTCTCCTACTGAGCAACATTTTTGTTTGTTCTGAGCGGGATTTGTCTGTTTGCAGTAAATACCTGTCACATAGCAACAGAAATATTACTAAATAATAATACATAACATGTTAAGCTCCTTGGTCTAGAAGCTTTTAATGAAAAAAACACATGTTCCTGATAAAAAATAATAAATAATGTCAGTTTTTCTTTGTGCATTAAAAATATCTGTACATGGTTCCACGATATGACAAAGTACAATTGTATTTTCTAGGCTCAGGGTGGCATCTTGGGGTAAATCTTCACCTAAAAAGGGTCGAGGCTCGTGCTCTTGATCCTGCATGAAAATCCTTTTCCCAAATTTGTGGAGTTCAGAGCCCTGCCCGCCCTTTCCATGCAAAGGGGGAAGCAGCCCACGAGGAACGTGGCAACACCAACATGCAGGAAGCAGCTGAGGACTGAGATCTTGGCAAATGTGAGACTGGAAAATCTGGAACACTTCTTGCCTCGACTGTAAGAGACCAGCAACAGATAGAAAAATAAAGGTGGCAAAGGTAAGTAGAAGTTTCTCCTCCAAATGTAGCTAGAAAAGGATTTAGGTGGTTTTGTTTTCCAAGATGGCACTTAGTGATCCATTGGCTCTGGCTCCTGGCCAAGCTTCTGCTGCCTCAGAACGCCCAAAGTTTGCTCGGGGAGGGATGGGGACAGCTCTGGGCCCCAGGACACATCCCATCCCCTGGGAATGGCAGAGCAGGGCCATGGCTCTGAGCTGGGCTGGTCCCACTCAGCTCCTGGGCCCCTCCCTGGCCAGGAAACTCCACCAGGGCCGTGCAGAGCCCTGCAGGCTCGGGGAGCACAGCTGGGGCTGGAACCAAAGGGCAGCAAACATTTCCTCTTGTTCTCCTGGAGAAACGTGGGGCTGCTCCTCCCCTGGCAGTGCCCAGGCCCAGGCAGAGCCAGCAGGGATGGGGCAGCTCGGTGCCACCCCACAGCTGTGGCCTGCAGGGTGGGGTGGCTGAGCAGGGGGCAGCTGGAGAGGAAAGGAACAGCTGGAAAGGAGCAGCAGGAGTTCCTGCTCGGGCTGGTTTGGAGCTGTTTTGGCCCTGGCTTTGCCAGGAATGCCTCACTCCTGGAGCAGGGCTCTGGCACAGCTCCAGCTGCTCCTGCAGGGACAGGGACAGCAGTCCTGACCCTCCCCGTGCTCCCACCCAGCTCCCACAGCTGGACATTCCTGGGAATTCACTGCAGGAGGCACCAGGACAATGCAGATGGATGGATTTTCAAGTGCTGCTGTCTGTGAATCCTTGGGATATCCTAAAATGCCTCTGTTCCTCCTCTTCTGGCCAGGACTAGAAACAGGACTCTTGGGATTCGGGGTCGGGGTGGATGGGAAGCTTCTCTTGTTCCTGGTGGTGCCCGTTGTGTAACACCTTGTACCTGGCAGGGGAACACAAACCTTGGTCAGTGCCAGCTCAGAGGCCAAACTGATGGAAAATGAGATAAAGCAAAGCCCAAAGTGTATTTAGGAGAGTGATTGTTCCAAATATCCAGATGCCACATTAAAAAGTGTGAATCCCTGCTTTGGGAATGAAATCTCCAGTGTGGAGCAGTCAAAGCAATCCCTGAAAACCAAGAAGCTGGTGGGTTTGGGGTGTCTGAGGTGAGCTGCACTGCCTGAGTGTGGGCTGAGGATGCTCCTGCAGGAATTCCCAGCTGGATGCTGGCTCCCAGCATGGCCAGGGCACTGCATGTGCAGGTGTTTCCCTCAAACACCCCTTGGAACTCCAGCACTTCAAACAAAGACCAGGAATTTAAAAATGTGCTCCCAACGAGTCACAGACTGGATGTCAGAGACAAGCAGAGACATTTTGACCTCACACTGAACAGACTCCAACGAGACAGCCACAGAGAGAGAACAGAGCTGGAACTGAGGGACCAGGTCAGACAGGGACACTGTGGGACACAATCCACCCGGGACACCTCGGGAATGCCAAAGGCTCTGCCACAGCTGGGACACGGAGAGAGCCCTGACACCTGGGGCAGCTCAGCACCATGGACAGGGACCGGGATAGCCAGGGATCCAGACAGAGAGAAACTGGGTTATCCAGGGATCCTGATGGACAGGGACCGGGATAGCCAGGGATCCCGATGGACAGGTGCTGGGATAGCCAGGGATCCAGACAGAGAGAAATGGGGTTATCCAGGGATCCCGATGGACAGGGACCGGGATAGCCAGGGATCCCAATGAACATGGACTGGGATATCCAAGAATCCAGCTGGACAGAGATTGAGATATTCAGAGTTCCAGACAGACAGGGACTGGAATATCCAGGGTTCCAGATGGACAAGGACTGGGACACCCAGGAATCCATCTGGACAAGGACTGGCACACCCAAGGATCCTGATGGAAAAGGACTGGGACACCCAAGGATCCCAAAGAACAAGGACTGGGACACCCAAGGATCCACCTGATGGACAAGGACTGGGACACCCAAGGATCCCAAAGAACAAGGACTGGGACACCCAAGGATCCTGACGGACAAGGACTGGGACACCCAGGGATCCAAACCTTCCTCCGTGTTCTGCGGCCGTCCCAGAGTGGAGCAAGAGCAGCAAGAGCAGGTGGTGCTGATTGTTAGAGGTTCATTAAGCTAAAGAGGAGTCATTGAGGTGTCCCAGGATGTCGTGTGGCACAAAGTGTCTGCCTGAAGCCTCTGGCAGTGAGTTCAACACTTCCAGCTGTTTACCCTGTGGGGAAAGAGGACTGCTAGCACAGGAGGAAAGAGCATCCCTGGCATCCATGGCTTGCTCGGGTACCAGCGCATTGTTCCTAAAATATCCCCAACATCTCCAGGAGTCTGTTAAGGGAGTCCTCTGCTGCCAGGCCTTTGTGTTCTGTGGGGTTTTCCATACCCTGCAGCCTTTCCTTTCAAATGTAAGTTCAGAGCCCCCTGCCAGTTGCAGGGCACTGATTTAGTGCTGGATAAAAGCTGGGATTTTTACAGCCTTGCTTTGTTCTCACACAAAGTTTTTGTTCTCTCTCTTTCCCTGTGCCTTCACTGATCTCTCTCTGAAAATACACCTCATTTCTCAGCTCTTGGCACCTGTGGGGAGCAAGATTTAGAGAAATTCTCATCTGCACCTGAAATTCAGCTGCTTCCTCTGCAGGAACACACCTGGTGTGCCTCAGCCAGGGATTTATCCTACAATGCAAGGAGAAAACAGCACTGGAACCCTCCCTGTGAGGGCTGAAGGCTTCAAGAGAAAGCAGCCAGGTAGGTGTGAGAAAAAAATACATCTGAGGGAGCTGGAATATGTGTGCAGGGAAAAAAGAACATTAAAAGGGTTAAATGCTTTAAGTAAATTATCTACAGCAAATTAATTGTGCTGTTTTCCTGCCCTGATGGGCTCCTTGGTGGGATTTGTGTACCCCCCAATAATTAAATTATAAAACAATAAATCCCAGCAATGGGAAGGCCCTGTCCCTCCAGGGACCTGCTGCTGTTCTGAGCTGTTCACTTTGTTTGCTTTTCTCACTCTCCAAACTTTTCCACTCTCAGATATTTTCCCCTTTTCTGATCTGGAGCAAGTCTTCAACTCCTTGTGAGATAAAACAAAGAAGAAAAAAGCAGAAAAGAGCAGACTCCAATTGATGTTCAATGCCCTTTGCTGCTTTTATCAGGGGACTCATCTCCCCACTGTGATATTGGCAATTTTGGGAGTGAACATTCACTGCCTGTGTCTTTATTTTCTCCTTTTCCAGTTGCTAAAGCCCATCTCCAAATGAAACACTTCCAAACACTTTTCTTCCTTCACCTACAAGCAGAAACTCCCCCAGGAGCAGCCACCATCCCACCTGGAACAGATCTCCAAGGAAAAGGCAAGTAGGGGATGTATCACAAACCTTTTGTTTTTTGCAGGAGCACCCAGGAAAGATTTGCTGGGACCAGAGGAAAACAAGATGAAATTATGTAAAATGGATAAACTGAGAAGATTTGCACTTGGCTTGAGCAGAATCCTGTTCTCAATAATTTATTTTTATACCATTTTTCTCCTCCACCACCTAAAATAGTGGCAGGTAGAAGAGGTTTTGAGGTAAAAGTTGGCTGGAACAACATTTTAAATGGAACTGAGCTTCCAAACTGAATGAAGGACTGAAACTTTTCCAAGATTTGACAATTGTGATGCTCCACAATTTATCTTTCCCTGGATTTTCCTTTCTCTCCCAAAGTGATTTTCCTCTGGAATATTTGCAGCACCACTGCTGGAACTTCACCCTCCAGCTCGTGTCCATTCCTCTGGGCTCTGCTGCTTCCAGAGGGACTTGCAAGAGCAAGAACAAATAATTGCTCTGCAGTGGGATTGTGGTGAACAATCACTTGGCAGAGGTTATTTCAATGAACACATCCCTGAAATCAGCCTTGCACCATCTGCTCAGTCCCGGAATTATAAATTCTGAATTAGAAAACAACAGAATTCATAAACCACGACAGAAGTGAGGGGAAGAGAGCAGCTTCAGATGGATTTTGTGCTTTATCCCCGCCTGTGCTGGCTGTGCTCTGCGCCATTCCTGTGTCAGGAATGGGTGGAAAAGAGTTGTTTTTTTTTTTTAATTTCTGTGTTTTATGGCAGCCCCAGAGCCCCAGGAACCAAGGCCTGGAAGGGCAGGATGGGTCTGGGAGGCACCAGGAATTCCCCAGGCTGGAAGCACCAGGAGAGATCCCACAGGAGGAGCTGCAGAGGGCCAGGAGCAAAATCTGAGCCTGTTCTCCAGGACATCAGGAGTGTCCCCTCCTGCTGCCTGCCTGAAAGGGACTTGTGATATTTTTGGAAAACTGGGAGATGCTGGGAAACAGAGAACTGAGAAAAGGGTAACACAAAATCCAAGAATCTCTGGAATTCCCTATTTTAATCTGTGATATTTTTCCACTTTGAAAGAGCAAAACCCTCAAATCTGAACTCCACCAAATGTCAGAGTGAACTGGGAGCAACATGCATTGCTCCATTTCCCTCTTCTGCTGAAAAAATGAATCCACAGAGGCCAAATTAAGTGGAATTTCACAAAACATTTGCTTTTAATGCAGCTGCATAAGAAACTTCCACAAACGAGAGCAGAATTATCCCTCTCTCAGCATTCCCAGGTTCACAAACTCCAGAAAATTAAAAGCTTCCCAGTAACTCTGTAACCTCTGGGCTGAATTTGTGCTGCTCCCATCCCTGCAGTGAAGTTCTGCACTTGGCCATCAGCATAAAATCATTAGAGCAGGGTAAGAAGAAATTGAATTATCCCATTACAGCCCAATGTGAAAACCCAGATCTTGGGAAAATGTTGGAATTGCTGAATTATTTACATGGCTCTGACAGCAATGTTGATTTTAGAGTCCTTTGTAGTCACATCTAAACACAAATCTCTCTCTGTCTCATGACAAGTGTTTATTTTCCCACTCCTGAGCAGTTAAGCTGAATCTCTTAATTATCTTTAAATCAAATAATGCTGTTCTGACCTTGGGAGCTGAACTCAGCCCTCGTCATTCTTTGCTAAATATCAGGCAGAGGTTTTATAAAACATCTGTCTCCAGCCCACACCACCCAGCTTTCAGTGCACTTTATAGGATTTCTGAAGAAATCCAGATTTAAAATTAGCACTTCTCAAGTAAATCAATACTTATTTCTCTTGAATAAGAGGAACATTAAAAAAAAAAAAAGATAAGGGGAAGAATTTTTTTGTCTCTGACAAGTCTCAGGAAACAAAGAGAGCATCTCCCAATATGTTTATGTCTCTCCTTTTCCCCCCCATCGTTCCATCATCTCTCTTTTTTCTGGCAAACCAAGATTCAACCCCCTCCAGTCCCTTTGTTTTTGTGTTTGCAGGAGCTGTGGATCCTTTTCAAGGAGGATGTTTAGAAGTGCAGGCAAATAATTAACTGGAATAGGATCTTGAAATGAAATGTCCAAACCCTTCAGCATCTGGTTTCCTTTTGGTTTTCTCCTGCTGAATTTCACCCAAATTTTGTTTCTCTGGGACTGCAGGTGCTCATTTCCATCTTCCTTTTTTATCCTCTTTATTCCAGGCTCTGTTAATGAATTTCTCTGTGGTGCTTTCTAATCCCCCTCACCACAATTGCTGAATTTGATCATTTTCCCTTTTCCCACTCTCCTGCTTTCAGCTGCTCCACCTGGATAATGTTTATAATTTTCCCTGTTTTCCACTGCAGGTTGTTTTGCTCAACTTCAGCTGAAAATCCTGAATTTGGGTATTATGAGGAGGAATTGGTGATGGAAACCAAGGGATCCACACAGGAACCACGAGGTGGGGATGGCCCAGAGCTGCTGAGCTCTTCTGCTTTAGATTTGTGCCATTTTAATGTTGCAGGAGTTGATGTTTCCACAACAGAAGCAGCAATTTGGGCACCAAAGGACAGAAATGAAGCAAATTT